GTTTTCATTTCATTTTCTAACGCTTCTGAAATTAATTTCCAGCTTCATAGGAGTAAAAGCATTATGGCGTTTGGCAGTCGGTTTCTGCTGTGATGGTTCAGAACGCTGAGGTATAATCTGCTGCTCTGAGTTGTGTCTTTCCCTCGTTTCTAGGCTTACAATGTCACTACCAGCGAAGAGGTGTGGAAGGCCCCCAGTGTTGTCTTTTCTGGAAAGGAAAAAGAGAAAGCAAAGTCTTGATAGAAGAAGGGGGAAAACGAGGATTTATGTGGGAAATCATATTGACCGATGGTTGACGCTTAAAGAAAAGTTGGATTTCAGAAACGATGCAGAAGTTGCAGGGTTTTTACTGGACCTGTGAGTAGACCGTCACAGTACTCTGTGTCCTAATACCAAGCAAATAATTCTTGGCGTTGATACCAACTGTGTCTTTTCTCTCTAGGTATGACAGCTATGACCCATTGTCAAAAGCTCCGATCTGTTCCCTCCCTGAGGGTGTGAGAAGAATTACTGTGAAAGAAGAAGGAGCATTGTCAGGCAGCACTTCTTTAATAGCAGCTGATGGAACGTTAGTAATATACTCTATATGTGAAGGCCAGATGAAATATTTTTCTTGATAGTACTTAAAAGACCATACCTGACATTTAAAAAAAAAAAAAAAATGGGGTGGAAGTTATGTAAGAAAGAGAAAAGCACAGAGGTAATTTTAATAAAAAATGTAAGGGGTTTGGATATCCTTTGTAGAACAGCTTATGTATTTGTTTTGTTGTTTGTATTGTTGAGCATGTAATACTAGTCTAGACAAAATAGAAACAAAACTTGCTTGCACAAGAAATGTTTCAATTAACAGTTTGGGTTGTATTTGCAGGTATGACAATGATGGCCAGTTGTCTAAAGAACCAGATCGTTCTGAACTTGGAGATGTGAGAATTGTAGCTGTGAAAGAAGAGAGAGAGATGCCGCATGACTGCTTGTCAACAGGGACAGATGACACGTTAGTGATACTATGGTTTTTTGCATGTTTTGCATTTGAAAATATTTTGCATTGATTTTTATTATCACTTTTAATTTTGTTTATTAGAAACTCACGTCATTCATGCTCTGCTTCATTATCTAAAAACATCCTGGTACGTAATGGTTGGTTCAGTCCTTCTGAGGCAGGAATCTGAGAAAGATTTTAGAGAAGTTGTAAGACTCTTTGAGTACACACTGCAAGCCTCCTTGTTCAGTGACTGCCTTCCTTAATCGTATATAAGATTCATGAGTGGAACAAGAAAATAGCTAGTACTTTACATGTATCCTAGTCACTTTAGTAAGCAGTTAGATTTTTACAGTAGTACAGTCTCCAGGCAAGTGCAATTGCGCGTGCTTTCACCTTCTCAAAAGAAAAATGTTTCATTCTTGACTGAGTGATACTACATACAAAGTGACGTGTTAACCTATCTAAAAATAGTGCCGTGCTCAACGAGGCAACCACGCCATCAGTCGACTGCTGATTTCTTTTACTGCAGTGTCATCAGTAACTGAGGCATTCACAGTTGAGATCAGAGGAGCCTCAAATAGGTATGCTTGTCCATTACTCTTTATTTAGGTTTCAATTATCCACAACAGTGTTACTGAATAATTGTAATTTCATCCATGTATTAGTTATCTGACTTCTAAAAAAATGTATCTTTTAATATATGCAGGGGGACACTGAGAACCTAGGACATTGCATTGGCATTGCATGGTGTGTCCAAACCCCTCGCTAATATGGTGAAGTATGTAACGTATGTAGCATGTTTGTCTGAATCTCGTTTGCCACTGTGTTTTCACTTGTGACTTTTTCTAATTCTTCTTACTTTTGATTTTAGTAGGTGAACAAGTTGGGGTTCTGAAAGCAATTCTGTGGTGCAGAAGAATTCTTGGAAGCTAGGTCAGGAGAGAATAAATACCAGTGCCGATGAAGCTGACAAATTCAAGTACATTCTTCAAAATAGCATTTTTCTCTGGCAATATAATTTTAGTTTGGAGTGCAGCAATAATTGAATTCCTGGGACTGATTTGATACAGGTGAGACAGAGGGTTTGTTCTTAATTGATTGCTTATTGCAGCCTTCTGAGCTGTGAGAAATATTGCAAAAAGTTGTTTGGTATGAAAAAAACTTTGTTACCCTGAAAGGTAAGGTATATGATGCTTTTTACAGTCTCATGATACCTCTGTGAAGATGCTGGACAGATGATCAGGCATGTATGCAGTGGTAATTGTATAAAGCTAAGAAATGACAGCTGTCTGATAATAACGAGATTCAAAAATAAGAGTTTGATGGGACAGACATCCTAGGGCATACTGTGTTATTCTAGTAAATATTTACCTACAGGAGCAGTTGTATAGCCTCTCTATGAGGAAAATAATTGGGTTTTGTTGCATTGTCTGAACACCACATCACTGGTAATGCTTTTGAGTTTGTTTTTCATTCACCGTACAGCAGTGAGGTAGAGCCATGATGTTATTTAGGGATTCTTACTAGCTGTGGGATATCCATACAGTGGTCAAGTCATTTGCCCAAAGTCATGTTGGTAGTTGAACTTGGGTCTCAAAAGTAAGACTGAACTCAATTACTTACTCAGTGTTTTTAGATGGGTGGGCAAAATTCTTAACTGTTGTAGAAAATAGAGGTTTTCCTTCGGAAAGGAACAGTGGTTATGTTAATGTATACTTTTTTTTTTCTTGTTTTTAAAGGTGTGGTACTGCACTTCCTATTGAAGGGTGGAGATGAAGGCAGGTATTTCCTGCTTTCCAGGCATTTGGGTGTCATGTTTTCCTGTTGCTGTTACTGTTTTGGGCCTTATGGTGTACATCTCTTTGTTCTATGCTGCTATATAAGGGCTGGGAAAAGAACAAGGTCTTGTTGAAGGGGCTTTATTAACAAATCCTGAATTAACAGTCATAAAGCATCTGTTGTATTCTCGGCCTTTTATGATCTAGTCTAGTTTTAGGTTGGCTAAACACTAACTGTTAAGGAGCTGGAAATACCAAGGATAATGGAGCAAGAACACTTAAACTCACCTGCTTCATCAGGGGCTTTAGCGTTTGGTTTCTGTCTTGTTTATGGAGTCTTGCCTGATGATGTGAGCTTTCAGAGTTTGTTTGCTGTTGTAGAGAATTAAGTCGATGGAGAAACAGTGAGGGAATCAAGTAGCAGGGATTTCAAGATTCTTGCCAGGTGAAATGGTATGGTTTTTTGAGTTCTGGCTTTTGTGAAGAGTTGGAATGTTGATATAATAACAGGAAGAAAAGAATGTACCAAAATCTGATTTAAAGTATTATTAGGAGGGCATAGCCAAAGGGAACTGTTACTGAACCATGTCCAGTTAGGTTCCTGGATACATTCAGTTCTTCTCTAATGCTTCTTCTGCTATTAACTTCTAACTTCAACATTTAGAATACTAACCAAGCTAGATGCAAACTGTTTTTCTGGCTTATGTGTAACAAGTGCAAAACTGTCAAAGCAGATAATAAACAGTTTATTGTTTTTTCTTTAACATTTGTGATTGACATTAAGATTGAAGAATGATGAGTCAGAGTAGTTGAATAGGGTTTTTTGAGGAAGCTTTGGGGGATTTGGGGTTCTTTTACTTTTGCAATATTTGAGTGATAAAGATTCAAAAACTCTTCCACCTGGACCTGTATTGATGAGACAGGTTCTCATGACAGAACTGACTTCCTGGGGGTTGATTACAGAACATATCTTTTTTTGCCTTGATTCACTAAGAAATGAAACAGAATACAAATACAAAATAAATACTCAAAAGTGTCACAGCAGTTTGGTGAGGAAGACCGAAACCCGTAGGATGAGTTGGTGTCAGTCGCTAGGAAATTATTAGTTGGGAAGCCCCTGCTTTGAAGGTAGGCTTCAGCTTCAGTTCCTGTCTCTCCTAAAATGGTAGTGGCAACTCCTTTTATAACGACTTTTGCTACGTAACTTTTTTCACAGTCACGGGATCTTGCAAGAGTCTGTATTGCAGAACTTCTCTTTATCTTAACTAATCTGTTGCCTGAAAAGTTGTACAATTACTGTCCAGACAAGGCAGTTGTAAAGTGTAATTCCCTAATTTGGAAAGAAAAAAAAAACAATTTTGAGGAAATGTCCAGCAAGCTGTTAATGCTGAAGACTCACTGTGACACCAGTGTGAACAGCTGAGGCATTTCTTAGCAAGCAGGAAAGTAAAACCTAAATTAGATTTCAAAGGCAAAAAAACCCCCAAACCTGCTCAGTAGGACAGCTTCCTGTGCTCTATGAACAAATTGATTTTCGATGCTTTGTTTTGACTAGTCTACATTCAGACTCTCTAAGTCTGGCCAAAAGATGAAAAAACAAATCCTAGTTGAAGTAAAAGACTCTGTGTGTATTGTTTTTGGTCTTTAGTGTTCAGTTTGTTTTTAATAAAAAAGCACAAAACACACACCCTACCACCCCCACCCCCCCCGACAAACCACAATCTGTGGTTATTTTACTAATGTACCTTGAAAGTGAATGTGTAACACTGCTTTGCCTTACAGAAACTTAAGATTGAGTGGTTAGTCTAAGACACTTAATTAAGTAATTTACTTTATTGTAATGCTAAATGCTGATCTGTATTTCATTATAGTGAAACCTGTGTATATACATCATAAAAACATAAGATGTTGGTCTGATTACACATACTGCACATGCAAAAGCACAAATAGAATTACTGTAGTATTTTCTATTATTTCAAAGTTAGAAGATTGTATTAGGGGAATGTACTTGCCTAGACATACTTTGTGAAACAATGCAGACATATTTCATATTTAGATATTTGAATGTCACATTGTAACTATGATCATTGTGTTACTTTTCAGGGTGGCCAGCAAGAAGAAAATCAAGCTCTTGCATAACAATACTGGGGCAGTTTTTGGTGCATTTTGATTTTGCTGTGAGGGTATTGTGAACTATAAAGAATTACTGTAAGTTGTAGTATGGAATTCCATGTTACTTGTTGAACAGCACATTAAACTTAATTATCTAAAGTTTTATTGTGTTACGTTGACATTAATAAAGAGTGTGGAGCAGATTATTTCACTGTGAGAGTCTGTACATACTTCTCGAAGGGCAACAAGAAACAACAAGCCAAAATGCTAATAGGTATTGCTCAAGCTTATTCAGAATTTATTAACTTTCTGTAGGTTGTGTTAATGAAAGAGTTCCTCACATTTTATTTAAAACTCAAAGGGCTAAAATGAAAGCCACATTCTAGTAGCAGTTACAGCATCAAGTATGCTTCCATTCTGAATGTATTAGTGGAATGTTTTTTCTTAAGGAAGAAATTTAACGTATCCCACATACTGGAAGGTATTCTTGCAGGTTATTGATGCACTTAAAAATGATGGGTAAAAACACTGGACTACATAGTGTGTTGTGTAGTGCCTTCTAAAAAATGAGTAATTAAGATCTGATACTATATTATTTATCTAAATATATTTTGTTACTGAATAATTTGATCTCTCACTTTGGCTTTTGATACTACTTAAGCCGATATATGATGCCCCTTAATTATTTTCTTCTCTTAACAAAGATCAAGTAAGCGTGGAGTTCAACAGAATAGCATTGGCAGTTCTGAATTTGTTCTGTAGTTACTAAGTATGAGTAATTCTGGAAAGTTTTAACTGAGAAACTGTGAAATTAGTATGATTGTATTCAATGTATGTTTGTCAGAAGGACAGAAACTCCCAGTCTTCTGATTATTTTTTTTTTTTAACCACACACTTTCATAAGTGTTTAGGTCTTGATCTTACAGTATTCAAGCCAGCTGGGTTTTCCCATCAACTTATATTAGAACAGCCTCTCTCTATGGAGAAATTCCCCTAATTAGGTCATTACACTCAACATTCAGTTTTTTTATGAGCTATTTCACTTCACCTGCTATAAGAAACCGCTGCTTTTAAATATTCTTGCGTTGCTTTTGAAGTATAAAAATTCAGTGTTACCTTATTAACAGTATCTTTTGCCAAATGTGGCACAGATAGCTTTTTAAATCAGAGAAGATCGTTTGTTGAAGCTTTCTCAAAATGAAAACGCCACTTCCCATGTCTTTCTGTGTTCTCTCTGCCCTGTACCTTTCAAAAAATTTTTTTCTTTGACTACCAAGCAGTCATTCATGTAAATGACTCAGCTTGGCTCACAGGAAAAGTATGACTAGTGACGCTAGTTCTCAGTGAAGTGTCTTTCAGCGCTCTCAGATTTTCTATTGTCAGTGTCATCACATTGAAAAGGGAAGAGGACTCGGCCTTCAGTATAATCAGTGATGTTTTCCTCCAAAGTCTACAAGGGCAGCAGAAGACTCTGCAACTGCAGTAGCTTATTTCAGCCAGGAGCTCTACCCATTGTGGCATCTAAGCACCATCTTGTCAGCCTGTTCAGCCTAGTTCTTACGCCATTATAAATGCACACTAAAAATATTTATATTATTTAATGACTTATTTTTGTGGAAGTGAACCAATACTGCAAATGCACGAAGTTTTGAGGTGTACTAACTACATAAAATTACTGGTAGAATGAGTGTTCTGGTACATAGGACTTGAATATAGTATGATTCAGCCCATACTAATGTGTTTCCCCAAAAACCTCCCATTAGATTAGCAGTTCATGCTGAAGAAAAGTCAAGAGAAAAGTAGACTTTTTAAAAATTTCCTTTTGTAATGCATGGATGATATATTTTGGGTTGTTACATCAACATATGCTTTTGAATATCTGAATTTTGCAGAGCAGAATATTACAGTTAGTATTTTCCAGTAAATTTTGCAGAATAGTGAATGGTAATGATGCTGAAATAAGATTCTTGCTTCTGCCAGGGCCATGAGAAGAAGGACAGCTATGCTTTTGTCAAAACAGCTGAGTAAGTTTTTCTGCACCTGTGGGTCTATAGGAATCACTGAACTTGAATATGTTCAAATGTCAGAACTAAATCTATAAAAATTGTTTATACTGTTGTTCCAATGATACGTTAAGAATATACAGACAGAAGAATTGCTCTTAGCAAAACAGTTGGGTTCTTGGCAATACTGAGTATATGTTTCTGACCCAAGAACTGTGAAAATGTGGAAATTTTCTGCATGGGTTTATAGTGAAAGGCAAACATTGGCTGTAAAAATACTGATTTTTTTTTTTGTTTTATTTTTATTTTTTTTTTGTATTGTGTTTGTAATGTAGCTTTCCTGTCCTAGTTGGTTTCCTTAGAACTGCGGATCTGTCAAATCTTCTGAAATGTGTTTAAGTATGTAAACTGGGAAACTTCCATCCAAATAAGGACAGGTTATGTGCTGGAACTTAAATTTCCAACCATCAGCTACAGAAGTTAAGTTGCAATGCACCAGTTTTCATACTACTAACCTCATATTCCACTGTTTTGCCTTTACCAGAAGTAATTTTCTAAAATCGCAATAATCATGATTGTGCTTTTAGCTCAGTTAACTTAGTATTATATGAAAACCTCATATATTTTGTTTGTGGAAGGTGATCTGTTATATATTGTGGTTTACTTTTGTAGTAAAAAACCCTACAAAACTTGAGAAAAAAGTATTTCAAACAGCTCTTGGAGCTTTCTTTGTGAACACAGATACCATTGTGGGGGAGATAGAACTGAGGTGAGACAAGCTGGAGTAGGTTACTCTAGAAAATAATAGTGTTTCAGTGCCCTATTTTCTTACCGTTTAGAATGGCTGTTTAATTCTTCAGCTCTTTTCTTATCCTGAATGCCTGTCTATAAGGCTTGATTTTACAGTCAGAAGTTCAGGAGGAAGCAGAATGCTGCGCCTAGACACATTATTTAAGAATATAAGGGGGATGCAGGAATCTGGTTTTATTCTGAATTCTTCAGGCTTAGTAGATCATCTTATTCAAGTTGCTTCTCTTTCCTCTTCTTTTTATCTTGCGGTAAAATAGTAAATTCTAAATGTAACTTCTATAAGGCATGATCTGTAAGAAAGATTTATTAGTATGAAGCACTATCATAAGTGCAACGATACTTGTGATTACTTTTTCAAGAAATGTTCGTGACCTGTGTCTGTTGTTAGCAACATGTCTTTTGGGCTTCTAAATCAAGGCACCCCGGATGACTTCCAACGATGTCTCATGTTAAGCACATTCTCATGGGCCACTACTGAAAATACTGATCAGTGGATGGCAGACGGGAAAACGCATCAAAGGAGGAATTCTGAAGGTAGGAGTAGTAGAGTTTCAGTTTGAGATGCATAAATGAAATGTGGGTTAGAGAGGAATGATGAACCTGAACATTTTTTGTGGTTTGAGTGGTTACCTGTCTTAGGACAAGCCTGCTTCCCTCTTTTTTTCATGTCTCAGCAGAAGCAATTAATATTTCATCCTTTTATAATTCCAGAGAGATTCCTCACCACTACAGAAGTCAAAGCTCTGGGTGGTGAGGATTGCGTTTTCATGCAGCTGAGGATTCAACAAATTGGACACTTCTGAGATCAGATAAAGCTGATAAGTATGAGAAGTCTTAAATCTGTAGGTCATAAAGCAATACTTTCTTCTGTGTTTCTTGTGTATAAATGTGAAATCGATGTGTATTTAAGATATCAAAATCAGCCTACCGCTCAGTCATGTCTGTAATCTTGCTTTACATGCAGTATTCAGTGTACTTTTATCTATAGACTGGATAGGGTATCTAGAAGGAAAGAGGGCAAGTGTGTTTGTGTGTATGTATGTGTATACACACACACACTCCCACTATACATTTTATTTTATAAAATCATAAACTTGCATGAGTTGGAAGGGACCTCTGAGGGTTGTCTCATCCAACCTTCTGCTCAAAACAGGGCTGACTTCAGGTTTGGATCCGGTTACTTGGGGCCTTGGCTAGCTGAGTTTTCAAAATCTCCAAGTATTTTATAGAATTTTGACATGTTGTTTAATAGAACATAGGATCCAGAATGTAAGATTCATATTGCATTGCTGGTTTCCATTTTTCTTTTTTTACTGTTATTGTAGTAGTCGAAGTCCTGATGCATGTTTTTTAAGGTATCATATCATAGACTTGTAGAATGGCTTGGGTTGGAAAGGACCTTAAAGATCATTTAGTTCCAGCCCGCCTGCCATGGGTGGGGACACCTTCCACTAGACCAGGTTGCTCAAATCCCCATCCAACCTGGCCTTGAACACTTCCAGGGATGGGGCATCCACAACTTCTCCGGGCAACCTGCTCCAGTGCCTTAACACCCTCGTAGTGAAGAATTTCTTCTACCTAATCTAAATCTCCCCTCTTTCAGTTTAAAGCCATTACCCCTTGTCCTATCGCTGCACACCCTTGTAAAAAGTCCCTCTCCAGCTTTCTTGCAGGCCCCTTTCAAGCACTGGAAGGCCGCAATCAGGTCTCCCTGCAGCCTTCTCCTTCTCTTCTCCAAGCTGAACAACCCCAACACTCTCAGCCTGTCCTCACAGGAGAGGGGCTCCAGCCCTCAGATCATCTTTGTGGCCTCCTTTGGACCCGCTTCAACAGGTTCTTATGTTGTGGGCCCCAGAGCTGGACGCAGGGCTCCAGGTGGGCTCTCACGAGAGTGGAGCAGGAGGGGAGAATTGCCTCCCTTGGCCTGCTGGCCACACTGCTTTTGATGCAGCCCAGGATACAGTTGGCTTTCTGGGCTGCAAGTGCATGTTGTCAGGTCATGCTAAGTTTAGGGTCTGGAACTAAACCAGGGTGGAGAAGCTCATATATGATGGCAACAATTTTCTTAAAATACCTTTTGACAGACTCAACATGTGCATCATTATTAAGACTTACCTTTGTGTCATAAATGGCCAACTAATCCATATGTGTTTGAGCAGCCAGGATCACCTGCAAGTCAATTATTCTTGACAGATGTCTGTACCCCCCCCAAGTCATTTGTGGTGTTCCAGGGCAAAACAGAGGAGGGAAGCTTCCAGTGCTTTTAAATCAGTTTTTCTTCATGGTTCTTTTTACAAATTTCTGTGTTGTCCTTTGTGCTCCTTCTTGGATGGTCAGCCTTGTTGCAGACATTAGAAGACGTTCCAGCAGAAGAATTTTATCTGTGT